TCAGATGGGGGAGAGAAGGGCTGAGATTGTGTGTGCGTGACCAGTGATAGGAGGGCGTGGGAGAGCTGACAGCAGTAACGATGGGGGGGAGAGAGGGGGGAGAGGGCGGGGTGTTGGGGGCTAGATTCGAGAGAGAAGGGCTGAGATGCGTGTGGGTTGACCAGTGATAGCAGCGCGTGGGAGAGCTCACGGAAGGCAGAGGTTGGGAGAGAGGGGAGACAGGGCGGGGACTTGGGTGTGGAGGGACGAGAAGGGCTGAGAGACATGTGTGGGTTGACCAGGGATCGGATAGCGTGGGAAGTCTATTTTTTACGCGCCTCAAAAAAGAGAGGGGAGACAGGGCGGGGAATTGAGTGTGGAGGGACGAGAAAGGCTGAGCGACGTGTGTGGGTTGACCAGTGCTAGGATAGCGTGGGAGAGCTGTTAAAGAGCAGACGGAAAGGGCGGGAGAGGGGGAGAGGGGGAAGAGGGGGAAGAGGGGGAAGAGGGGGAGGAGGGGGAGGATGGGGAGGATGGGGAGGAGGGGGAGGAGGGGGAGGAGGGAATGTGGGTGATGAGGGGTGCAATGTGCGAGGGTTGACTAGTGATGCGGTGGGGGGAGCTTTTGAGGCGCCTCAGAATGTGGGTCGTGAGGGGTGTAATATGACTTTGAGTCGACTCAAAGGTGCAATGTGCGAGGGTTGACTAGTGATAGGGTGGGGGGAGCTTTGCCTGGCACTGACTACGTGATGACTGCTCGTGAAACCACCACCTGCACATGCCTACCTGTGACACGGGCTGGTTGCACCACACTGCTTGCTCGTGCCCCGCAGAGTGCCACACGTGAGGGGGCATGCACCACCACACGTGCGCATAAAGACCATTCCGGCCGGCACCACCACTACATACCTGTGACACGGGCTGGTTGCACCACACTGCTTGTTCGTGCCCCGCTGAGAGCCACACGTGAGGGGACGTGGTGAACGGGAGGTGCAGGGAGGTTGCATCTGGGGACGGGGGAACTGCTGTAGCCCATGAGCGCACCTGGGGGAGAGCGGGGGGGAAGGGGGAAGGGGGGGAGGGGAGGGGGGAAGAGGTTGCAAGGAGAATCTGTTTGTGAAGCACCAAGTGGTAGGAATTGTGGGGGGGGGAGATTTTTTAGCGAGTCAAAAATCACCTACGGAAATGCGAGGGGGGAGCAACAGAGAATACACAAAGGAGACAGGTGAATGGAGAATTTGACTTGAAACACACAATGTAATTTGTGAAGTTACCTCGTGCATACACTAATCCAAAAGTGCTAAGAAACATTTTCGAAAAGTTCTTGAAAGGCATCTCAGGGTGCTCACCCATCCTTGAACAGATACTATCTTAGTCGTCTATTTTGCCATCTGTTTATCAGTTTATTAACTCGCCTTCAAGAAATTTCACTATCCCTCAAGTAATCAATTCACTATCTACAGCAGGTCTCTTACCTGCCAGTCGGAGTGGCCAGCAGCAAGAGAGGCGACGAGCAGCAGGGAGGAGGGAGAGCGTGAAGAATGGTGGTTGAGGGAGCGGTAGAAGGAGAGCAGGGAGGGCTGTAGGGGGAGGGGAGGGAGGCTGGGGAAAAAAGCGGACCAGTACACAGGAAGAAAAGGGAGGAGACGAGAACAGTACAAGGGAGGGAAGGGTGGTGGTTGAGGGAGCGGTAGAGGGACAGCAGGGACGGCTGTAGGGAAAGGGGAGGGAGGCTGGGGGAAAGGGGGGGCAAACAGACAACATGCGAAGGGAGGAAGAATGGTCAGATGTGTTTCTGGCTGGTGGGATGGCGGTTGAGGGAGCGGTAGAAGGACAGCAGGGACGGCTGCAGGGGGAGGGGCGGGAGGCTGGGGGAAAGGGATGGGAAAGGGATTGGAAGCAGGGCCAAGAGTGAGGAGGAAAAATGAGGAGGAACGGAAAGTGCATTCTATTGACTGGGCAGGATACAGGAGCGGGGGGGTGGGGGCTATCCTGAGGGCAGCTGTAAACAAAACCAAGCACTGAAATGCCTATCAATTGGACGTGTGTAATGAGTCGATTTTTGAGTCGACTCAAAAACCAAGCACTGAAATGCCAATCAATCGGACTCAAAAGGCCGAGTGGGGGCAGTGTACGAGGCGTGGTGGCTGAAAACAAACAAACCCTGGCACTCAAATGCACTTGGGCGGGAGGGTGTGAGACCTGCCTGTGAGGTTGTTAGAAACAGAAAGGTTCAGTTTATTGATGAAGCAAAGGCATTACATAGGAAGAGAGAGATGAGCTAGGAAGGGAAGGTTGGAAGGGAAAGGGGGGTTAGGACCAATCACAAGGGAGGGAGGATCCTTCCAAATGTGGTTGACCACCAGTTGGAGGTGGTCCAAGTGTGGTGTACCACCAGTGGTTTAGCCAACCCACTTGTGGTGCCCCCACAATTGTGGTCCTTGTGTTTGGGGGCTCCAACCACAATTGGGTTGGATTGACACCCCAACACAGGTGTACACCCAACTAGGGATGTAAACACAATATACACAACTAGCATAGCATGGTATATTCTAACACAACCCCATAGCATGCAAAGCTAGTGTATATGTAGGGTACAACCCCAGAATCAGGAAGGGGGGCGGGGCCCAAGGCCGAGAAGGCGGAGGAGGGCAGAGTGCGCGGTCTTCGGGAGGGCCTTGGTGAAGATGTCGGCCAAGTTGGCCTCTGCAGCGATCTTGCGGACCACCAAGTGACCTTGCTGGACCAACTCTCGAACGAAGAAGTAGCGGAGTTCAATGTGCTTGGAGCGGCCATGGAAGACAGGGTCCTTTGTGAGATGGATGGTGCTGGCGTTGTCGCACCAGAGGGTGGGACAGCGCTGAGGAGCACCGATCTCAGCAAGGAGGAAGGTGAGCCAGCGAGCCTCCTGAGCGGCCATGGTGCAAGCATAGAGCTCAGCCTCGCAGGATGAGAGGGCGATGGAGGAGGAGCGAGTGGAGCGCCAGCTGATGAGGCCGCTGCCAAGGGTGAAGCCGTAGCCTTGAGAGGAACGGCGATCCGGCTGGGAGTCAGCCCAGGAGGAGTCACTGAAGCCAGAGAGGAGGGGAGGAGAAGAGCCTCCGAGGGTGAGGACATAGTCCTTGGTACCACGGAGGTAGCGGAGGACCCGCTTCGCTGCAGCCCAGTGCTCATCAGTGTGGCGACCGGTACCGACGAATCGAGCAAGAACACTGATGGGGTAGGCAAGGTCGGGGCGGGTGCACATCATAGCGTACATCAGCGAGCCGACGAGCTCAGCGTAAGGATGGTCAGAGGAGGAGGGAGCAGGAGGAGGGGCAAGCTGGTGGTCGGTCTGCAGGGGAGTGGTAACCGGCTTCGCCTGCGCCATGTCGAACCGCTGCAAGACTTGGTCGATGTAGAAGGACTGAGAGAGGGTAATGGTGCGCGATGTGCGGTCCCGGGTGATGGTCATGCCCAGATAGTGCTTGAGCTCACCCAGGTCCTTGCACTTGAGGCGCGCATGCAGGGCATCCTTCACTTGCTGCATGGCGGCAGCATCGTCGGCGAACAGGATCATGTCGTCGACATACACCAGGATGAAGAAGCGGGTGGGAGAGGAGCGAAGGAAAAGGCTGGCATCAGACTGAGAGGCATGGAACCCCAAGGACTGCAGAGTGGCGGCCAGCTTGTTGTGCCACTCGCGAGGAGCCTGCTTGAGGCCATAAACCGGGCGGCGCAGCTCCCAGACAGTGTTGGCAGGGAAGGCTGCATGAAAGCCTGGAGGCCGCCGCAAGAGGACCCGCTCCTGGAGCTCGCCTTGCAGGAAGGCGTTGGAGACATCCATGGAGGCAATCTCCATGCCAATGCGAACAGCATAGTCGAGGATGGCACGGAGAGTTGGGAGCTTGGCAGTGGGAGAGAATGTCTCCCAGTAGTCGATGCCATGGGTTTGGGTGAAGCCCTTGGCACAATACCGGGCCTTGTAGACCGGCTCCTCACCCGGCAGCTGCTTCACTCGGAACACCCACAGGCCTTCAACAATGACGTCGTCAGGAGAGGGGACAATGTTAACGAATGAGGCATTGTGGATGAAGGCCTCGCATTCAGCAAAGATAGCCTGGATCCACTTGGCAGCATCGGGGCAGGTGATGGCCTCAAGGAAGTTGGACGGAGTGAATCTGGTGGGAGCGGTAGCGATGCCAAGGATGAGGAGGCCAAGGAAGCCCGGGTAGAGAGGCGTGAGGGAAGGTGTTTGTTTCTGAACGCCAATGAGCTCCTCATGGGAGTCCTCAATGAAGGGAAGGGAGGGTGGGGGTGGTGTTGGCCAACCCCATGGATGGCCTATGAGTGGGCCGTGAGAGCGAGTGTGGATGCGTGGGAGGATGAACGGAGAGGTGGTGCGGCGATGCCGATGAGGTTGCTGCAGTGGCTGATGCTGCTGCTGCTGCTGCTGCTGTGGCTGCTGCTGGTGCTGCTGCTGCACCTCCTGCTGCGGCTGCAATTGCTGCACTGCCTGCGGTTGCTGCTGCTGCTGCTCCATCCGCTGCTGCACTTCCTGCTGCTGCTGCTGCTCCATCCGCTGCTGCTGCTGCTGCTGCTGCTGCTGCTGCTGCTGCTGCTGCTGCTCCATCCGCTGCTGCTGCTGCACCTGCTGCTGCTGCTGTTGCTGCTGCTGCTGCTGCTGCTCCTTCTGCTGCTGCTGCTGCTGCTGCTGCTGCTGGTGTGATGAGGCAGAGTGAGCAGGGGAGTCAGGGACAGCTGGGTCGTAAATGTCACCTGAGGAAGGAGGAGGGGGAGGAGCAGGATTTGGAGGAAGGAGGGGAGCCTGGGGAAGGAGTGGGGGAATGACAGCATCAGCCCAGGTGAGGGGGCGGGAGAGAGGAGGAAGGGGGTCGGAAGGCGGAACAGAATGATAGAACGGGATGCTCTCATCGAACACCACGTCACGGCTCTGTAGGAGGCGGCCTGAGGACGGGTGAAGGAAGAGGTAACCAGGGGCAGAGCGAGCGTGGCCAAGGTAGACACACTCAATGGCCTTGGAGGCGAGCTTTCCTGCCTGCCGAGAGCGGTCAGGTGGGGGGATGAGGACATATGCCTTGCAACCCCAGATACGGAGAATGGCAGCATCTGGCTTGGTGCTAGCCCAGAGCTCAGTGAGAGTGACAGACTGGCGTTGAGGATGTGGGTAAAGATTAGTAAGGAGAGCAGCATGGACAAGGGCATAGCCCCAAAGAGAAGGGGGCGTGGAGGCATGAGTGAGGAGGCAGCGGGCCGTCTTGGTGATCTCACGAATGCGACTCTCAGCAACACCGTTCTGCTGAGGGGAGTGGGGAAGGGTATGAGTCTGCTGGATGCCATGGGTTGAGCAGTAGGAGGAGAGGGTGCGGTTGAGAAACTCACCACCGCCGTCGGAATGGAGGCGGCGGATGGGGCGACCAAAGTGGACTCGACACTGCTCGGCCCAGGTAACGATGACAGCAGGGGCCTCGGCCTTCGTATGGAGGAGGAACACCGAGGAGTACCTGCTGTGGTCGTCGACTAGGACAAGCATGTACCGGTGCCCTTGGCGGGAAGGGGAAGGGTTAGGGCCCCAGAGGTCCATGTGGACGAGGTCAAGGGGGGCAGCAGCAAAGGAAGGATGGCTGAGGTGAGGCTGTTGTTTGAGCTTTCCATGAATGCATGTGGCGCATGGGGGAGCGGAAGAGGACGGGAGGGGAGGAAGAGTGGGGGGAAGACCGTCAAGCAAGTGGGAGGAGACGGCTTTACGAAGTGTGGGAAAGTTCATATGACCAAGGCGGTGGTGGATGAGAACAGCGGGGTGGGACAGTGCGCGACAAGAGCATGGGGAGGAGGTGGAGTTGGAGGAAGGTGGCTCTAGAGGGAGGGGAGGGGGGAGAGTGGAGGTGCCTGCACGAGTGGTCACGTGGCATGAGGAGGGGCGGGGTGTGCGGAGGATGTACTGACGAGAGCGAGGGCAAAGTGGGAGGCGATGAAGGAGGCGGCGAGTGGGGCCGTGGAGGAGGTCACAGTAGGTGGCAGAGGCGGGGAAGAGGGTAGTGATGCCAGCCTGTTGGAGTTCACGAATGGAGAGCAGGTTATGACGAAGGGAGGGAATGTGGAGACCAGTGACCACTCCAGAGGGGAAGGGGGGGCAGGGGAGGGTGGAGAGATGAGTGCAAGGGATGGAGAAGCTGGAATCAGCACCATGAACGTTGGTGGGGAAAGGGAGGGAGGTGAGGGTGCCGGCGTCTTTGAGGGCAGTTTCAGTGGCACCACTATCGAGAACAAAGTCAATCGTGAGCGAGGAGGGAGCTGAAGACACGGGGTACTGGAAGTCACTGGCATTAAAAACAGAGGGATACATGGAAGTGGAAGCAGGGGAAGAACGCATGAGCTCGCCTAGAAAGCTGGAGTGGGAGGCGGGAGCACTAGGGGAAGGAGAGCCCCAGAGGGGAAAGCCAGGAGGACCTGGTGTGGCTGTGGCAGCCATGGCGGCGGTGCCAAAGCCAAGCTGCTGCTGCTGCCATGCAGATGCTGCGGCTGCGGCTCCTGCAGCTGCGGCTGCAGCCTGACCACCAGAGCCCCACTGCTGCTGCTGCTGCAGCAGCTGCAGCTGCTGGAAGCGGCGAAACTGCTGCAGCTCCTGGGGAGTTATGGGGTCAGCGACAGAGGAGGAGGAGGAGGAGGAGAGCTGAAGATGAGAGGGGAGAAAAGACGGAAGAGTTTTGACATCCTGGAGAGAGGGGCGGGGATCCATGGCAGACCAGCGTGGGGGTGTGCCAGTGTTGCCGCGCTCGAACCAGGCGTCATCATACGCCTTGAAGCAGGTCGCGGGGGGATGGTTGGTTTGGGTGCAGCGCTCACCCGCCCTGGGACCAAAACGGCGAAGATAGGAACATGGGGGGAGAGTGCCAGGGCGGCCACCACGGCTACCAGATGAGCCACCACTGCCTCCACCACCACCACTGCTGCCACCCTCGACCCCGCCACCACCGCCGCCGGCTCCGCTGCCCCCACAACCGCTGCCCCCACAACCGCCACCTCCACCCCCTCCCTGAGGGTTGGTGCGGCCGCCACGTGGGCGCCCGCCACGACGCGGCTGTGTGACTGCAAGCTGGGGGTTTTGGGACTCGGTGGAGTTCAGGCCGGAGGGGGGGGTTGAGAGAAGGCGGGCCTCAGCGTCAATGATCCATTGGACCACAGTGTCAAGGGAGGCGCGGGGCTGAGCCTCAGTGAAGGCGATGACGCGCACTTCATATTGAGGGGAGAGGCCTTCGAGGAGACGGTAGATCTGAAGGTTGGGGGGGAGAGTAGTCTGGCGAGCCTCAAGGCGGGAGGCAAGGTCCAGGAGACGGCTGGTGTAGTCAACGGCGCCAGCACTGTGTTCGATCGTGATGCTGAAGTATTCCTTGAAGAGCGGTCCGACAGCATCGAAGTCGGTGCGTTCGAACATTGCCTCAAGCTCGAGCCAGATCTGGCGGGAGCCGATGCGACGTGCCTGGAAGTTGCGCATGAGCGCAGACGGGATGGCAAGGAGAAGGGCACCAGTAGCACGGCTGTCCGCCTCGAGCCAGGCGCGACGACGCTCAGCAAATCGCGCAGAGTCAGCGGCATAAGCGGCGGCGGTAGCGGCATGCTGGGTGCGGAGGGTTGCCGACCGCTCGTGTTCCTCCAACGCGATCAGGTAATCAGTATGGAGCACGAGGAACTCACGACGCTGAGTAAGGAAGAGCTGCTCAACTTCAGCGGTGGCAGCGCGAGTGCTGGTGCCAACGGGTACCATGGGGGGCGGAGGTTCCTCGCCGGGATGGGGAATGAGAGGGGGGGGATCGCCAGGGTGAGGCGGCGGGTCCCCAAGGTCACCCTCTGGGAGACCAAGCATGATGTCCAGGAGGCGGAACGGCAGGACATAAGCACTGCCGAGGACGCGGTGGAGGCTGCCGACGAAGGAATACCAGTTGGTTGCTGAGTTGTCGGCAGCGCGCACGAGATGATCGAGGGTCGAGACGTCGACGGGAGGGGGAAAGGATGCCATTGGTGACACGGAGTGCGAGGAAGGCGACGGCAGGTGGACCCGCGGTGTCCGGGAGGGAGCGGCGGCGGGTGGACCCGCGGCGGCTCAAAGAGGAGGGGAGGATGGGGATGGCTGTAGATACTGCTGCTGCTGCTGCTGCTGCTGCTCCTTCTGCTGCTGCTGCTGCTGCTGCTGCTGCTGCTGCTCCTTCTGCTGCTGCTGCTGCTGCTGTTGCTGCTGCTGCTGCTGACGCTGCTGCTGCTGCCACTGCTGCTGCTGCCGCTGTTGCTGCTGCTGCTGCTGCTGCTGCTCCTTCAGCTACTGCTGCTGCTGCTGCTGCTACTGCTGCTGGTGCTGCTGCTGCTGAGTCTGCTGCTCCTTCTGGTGCTGCTGCTGCTTCTGCTGCTGCTGCTATGGCTGCAGCAGTGGTAAGGCGGCGATGAGCAGGTGCAGGTGAGGAGGCAAAAGATGGGGAAAGATGGCAGTTAGCTGATGAAAATAGGACTTGGTAGAAATTTCAGTAGCACTTCGTGATCACATCCAGGAAAGTGTGCAAACTTCGGAAAGCGATATCTGACAATCCAAGCGATGAAACAGTCCGAAATTTTACGATGTTGTAGCTGACACCAAGAGCGTTCTTTTGCAAGTCGAATCACTCAATTCTATCAACTATCGAGCGAGCTATGGCGTTTGGCGCATTGGGGGTTTTTGAAAATCCACCCAACAGAAAACTAGTTGAGAGGCGGCGGCTAGGAGTCTAGCAGCGGCGATGGAGGGGACGGCAATGAGGTGCACGTCGGAAGGGGACGGGGCGGAAGCGTGGGGAAGGATCGGGATTTAAAAGTTGGCGTGAGCCATTATTGCTCTATACCATGTTAGAAACAGAAAGGTTCAGTTTATTGATGAAGCAAAGGCATTACATAGGAAGAGAGAGATGAGGTAGGAAGGGAAGGTTGGAAGGGAAAGGGGGGTTAGGACCAATCACAAGGGAGGGAGGATCCTTCCAAATGTGGTTGACCACCAGTTGGAGGTGGTCCAAGTGTGGTGTACCACCAGTGGTTTAGCCAACCCACTTGTGGTGCCCCCACAATTGTGGTCCTTGTGTTTGGGGGCTCCAACCACAATTGGGTTGGATTGACACCCCAACACAGGTGTACACCCAACTAGGGATGTAAACACAATATACACAACTAGCATAGCATGGTATATTCTAACAGAGGTGTGTGTGGCGATGGTAACAATGGTCTGCACGGCATGCTGCTGCTGTCATGTGCTATTTTTGAGGCGCCTCAAAAATAGACTCCTCTGCTGTCATGTGCTTTGCTCTTTAGGAAGCTTAGAAATTGGAATGCACTCGGGGGAGGGAGGGAGGGTGTGACACCTGCCTGTGAGGTGTGGCGATGGTAACAATGGTCTGCACGGCATGCTGCTGTCCGGACTCTTTTTGAGGCGCCTCAAAAATAGCCTCGCAAATATTCTTAAATGCCTTAAAAATGGAGAGTGTGAGACCTGCCTGTGAGGTGTGGCGATGGTAACAATGGTCTGCACGGCATGTTGCTGCCTCGACTCCATGCACTGCCTTCTGCGTAGCACCTCTTCTTGCTCTTCTGCTCCTCCTCCTCCCCCTACTCCTTCTGCTCCTTCTGCTCTCTTTCCTCCTTCTCCTCCCCGTGATGCTCCCTCCCACGCACACTCCTCCACCTTATCCCCCCTCTCCGCTTGTTCTCCCCCTCTCAGCCTCCTTTCAGCCAGGCGGGCAACTATCCCCCCCATAGAGTGCCCCACAAGCAGCACAGAGGAGGGGGGGGGGAGATTGGAAGCACAGGACGAACGGTAGAGGGAACGAATCTGAACGGACGGAGAGGGTGAAGGGGGGAGAGGGGGGGAGGGGGGGGAGGGCGAAAGGAGAGCAAGGCATAAAGTGAGCTGTAGAGAGGTAGTCAGGCGGGCAAAAAAATCCCCATGGAGTGCCCCACTAGCAGCACAGAGGAGGGTGGGGTGGGGAGGGCTTAAAAGCGCAGGGTGAACTGCAGAGGGATATGAGCTGAAAGGACAGAGAGGATGAAGGGGAGAAGGGGGGGGAGGAGCGGGCACAAAATCACAGAGAGGTTGTCAGGCAGGCAACAATAACTTCCAACGAGTACCCCCCCAGTAGGTATTTGTCACTGTAGTTTTTGTCGAGTACAGAGGAAGGGAGGGTGGTCTGGAAAGCATAGGATGAGTGTACTTTGGTGCTCCCTCGAGCGACACAGTCTGTGAACAGGAGGGCAAGGAGAAGGAAAAGGTGGAGAAGAGGTGGAGAAAAGGTGGAGAAGAGGTGGAGAAGAAGGGACGTTCTTTCGTGAACTTTGGTGCTCCCTCGAGGCTACGAAGAGCCACGCACTCACAGATACCCACAGATTCACTAAAACCAGTGATGGCAGCACCAACATAAATAGAGTGCCAGGGGCAGACAGGTGCTCCCTCAAGTCTCCAACGAGCCACGCCAGGGGAGACAGATAAGGTTCAGAACCCTTTGCACGTATACAACCCTTTGCACGTATACAACCCTTTGCACGTATACAACCCTTTGCACGTATACAACCCTTTGCACGTATACAACCCTTTGCACGTATACACATGCAGCAGACGCCCACCTCAGTGACGGAAGCAGCAACAAAGGCCGCTTGTTTCAGCAGCAGAGTGCTGTCAAGAGCAGAGATGTGCTCCCTCAAGTCCACAGAGAACGACGCCAGGGGAGGGGAGATGGATAAGGTTGAGAGCCCTCGACACACAAGTGAGCAGACGCCCACCTCAGTGACAGCAGCAGCAACAAAGGCTCCCTGCCTTCTCAACAGGGAGCTGTCTAAAGCAGAGAGGTGCTCCCTCAAGTCCACGGAGAACCACGCTAGGAGAGATAAATAACCCTGAGACCCCTTGACACACAAGTGAACAGACACCCACCTCAGTGACAGCAGCTGCAACAAAGGCTGCCTGCCTTCTCAACAGCGAGCCATCCAGAGCAGAGAGGTGCTCCCTCAAGTCCACGGAGAACCACGCCAGGGGAGATGGATAACCCTGGGAGTCCTGCTTGCCCTCCCTTGCTCCAAGTGCTTCTGTTGCTGCTGCTGCTGCTGCCGCTCCTTCTGCTGATTCTGCTGCGCCCCCCTCTTCGCTACAGAGGAAGCAGGGAGAGCGCTCCCTTGGCTTGTCTTGGGTGTGAGAGGCGAGGTAGATGTGGTGGGATACAGATGCAAGGGAGCGGACCTGATTGAGTGGGTATCGGTGGGGGTTGGGTTGGGGTGAGAATGGGCTATGAGTAAAAGAAAAGTAAGAACAAACATCCACTTGCTCGCAACAATCCGCATTGTACCCCTTATAGTGTTACCTGCTTGTAGCAACTGGCACTGGATTGCTCCCACGGATGCCCGCCCACCCTCCCACTCACATTACACTACCAGCTCAATCAAGGCAAGCCTCCCACAATCAAGATCACATCGCCTGCACACAGGAGCCCACATTACACACCTCTTGTAGCAACCCGCATTGCCTGGAATGTAGAGCTCGGGCACACTCCTACAGACACCCCTCCGCACTTTCTCCATGCTGCTTTCAACAACCTGCGTTGGGCTTGTAGCCTACATTACACTACCAGCTTTCGACAACACTTTGCGCACCTGCTTGTAGCAACCGGCATTCCCCGGAATAAAGAGCACAGGCACGCTCCCACAGAGGCCCCTCCTCACTTCCTCCATCCTGCTGCCGCCTCCCATATAGTGGCTCTCTCGGTATAAGAACAAGCTGTACAGTGGATCTGGGGAGGGAGCAGCAGGAGGCCCAAAAGAAACGGGTATGCTTTGGCCAAATCAAGTCCCATTGTTGCCGCTACCTCCTCCTCTGTAAAGCACTTCCTGTAAGCACTTCCTGTAAGCACAAGTTAACCGGATCTGGAGGCACAGTCTGCACTTCCTATAGAGCACTTCCTGTAAGCACTTCCTATAAGCACAAGTTAACCGGATCTGAAGGCACAGTCTGTTATAATCACCTGAGCTGCACCAGCTACTGTGCTGTGCTCACCACAAGGCAATGACAACATCGTGCTCACCTGAAAACAAACTGAACGTTATTCTCACTTGAGTCAAGTCCTTGTTGCTCCAACCTTCGGCTGTGGATTCGAATCTCAAACCAGTTGGGCCACATGTACGTTAACCTGTGAGGCATACCGCACTCTAACTCCGTACTCTCCCTCCCCCGCTGGCCGGTTACGCTCGCCTGAAAGCAAATGTGCAAGGTGTACTCACTCGAATCGAGGCCTTGTTGCTCCAGACTCCGGTTCTGCATCGGAATATGAACGTAGCTGGGCCACATCTAAGTCATCTAACACCCTCTCACCGTGGACTCCCTTCCCCCCTGGCCGTTTGCACTCACTCAGCCGAAAGCACATATCATATGCAAGGTGTACTCACTCGAATCTAGTCCTTGTTGCTCGAGGCTCCGGTTCTGTATCGGAATCTGAACGTAGCTGGGCCACATGTATGTCATAGAGCACTCTCTCTCAATAGGCTCACTCTCCCCCTTCCCTTCCCCCGTCTCCCCCCCTTCCCCCTTCCTGTCCCCCACCCCCCCCATTTCCTCCCCCCTCCGCTCCCCCTCTCGCGCGCTCCTCCCCCAAGCTATCGCGCTGAGAGCTCCCGGAGGCGCCACCCGTCCGGCTACCGCTAAGGCGATAATCAGCAGCGCGGTAAGACACGTCAGCACGAGGGGAGCCACGGTGGATTGGCGGGTTCGCGCTGCGGGCGGGGCTCGTTGCGCTGCAGCTGCCGCTGGTGCCGATGCGGTCACTGGCCCTAGCCGCGCTGCGATGACTGCTGGAGCCGCTGCTGAAGGTGAGGATGGTCCCTCTGCTGCTTCTGAAGCGCGACTAGCAGACCCCTCGTCAGACGCCTTGCAATGGCTCATTGCTCGCTTTTATACTTCTTAGACGGTGGAAGATTCTCTCTGAACGATGGGAGATCTGACGGCTTCAATGATGCAGGATTCTTCCCCTGCTGCATCAATAGCTATAGGCTCAACCAATAGCATGTAAATAATATCGGACGGCTCAGCAGCAATCACGGCGGAGAGAATGGCTGCGGCTGAGCTACGAAAGTCTGGCTGCAGCGAATTTGGCGGATGCTATTGGCGGAAAGCTACTTTTCATCCATATGGTCTGGTCGTCTAAAAAAGTATGCAAATGATTGAATTGTGATTTCGTTTGTAGCGGAATACTCTGTACTAGCCATCGCGAGGGACAGACATTCAGTAACTTGATCTCCCGAAAGTCGTGCGCTTCGCCCAACCTCAACCTGCTTGCTGATGCGACTAGCGAACTCTTAAAGTGGTGTCGTAGGGGCTCAATTCGCGAGGACAACGATCTACTTGATTTCGCAAGGGGCTGGAGGAGTTCGAACTGTTACGGGCAACAGAGTCGATTTTGCCAGTTTTGCGCGGGAATGCCTCATGTTTTGGCACTCCCTAGATGCGGCTCGTCAGACACCTCGAGTTTGACGCACAAGAGAGCACAACACGAACAATTTACAACATGCAGACGGACTCCGTCAAATTTCAGTGAGACACAAGAGCACAATGAGACGGCTTCCGTCAAAGGCTCCTGGAAAGCTGTAGTGTGGAAAGGAATTGCTTGTGGTGTAGCTGTAGTAGCTAGTGAGGAATATGTGTTGCATCGGCGGATTCGCGTCGAAAGAATCTGGTTCTCTACGGCTCGCGTCGTCACATACCTGAACCATAAGAAAGACCCAGATCGCTGTCAAACATAATTTCCCTAATAGCGCCGAGACGAACTTCGCTTGAAGAGCCACGACGTACCGCGGACTGACCGCACAGTTGCGGACTGGCCTCGTGGGTAGTACCGCGGTCAACTGATCGAGGTCATGCGGGAATTCTGGGTCTTCACACACAGCGGTTCAGGGCATTGCGGTTCGTAATTCTAGAACTCTCTAGCGAAACGAGCGGTGACGTTGTCACTAGTTCGATGTATGATCCGTGCAACGGCGGTTCGTGAGAGTGCTATTACTGGCAACATGAGTCGCACTGCGTGTGTAGTCCGTCGCACGGCGAGTAGTATGGTCCGTCGCAATACAACCATGGCTCACAAGCCCGTTACCCGCCTCTTGAAGTTCGTGCCGATCCTCCTCCTCCTTATGACCGTTGCGTTCTCCGCAAGACCCGTGAGGACGGATCTTCTTCATCCCTCCGAGGATGAGGCGTTTGTGGAGGCCGCACGAAACTTGTATCAGGTGCGCATATATTGGATCATGTAGGGTCACGTGAAATGTCGTTGCAGTCGCAACCTGTACCAAGCAGGCGTTATTCGGTCGCGTGTTGCGCTGTGAAAGGTCTCTTGGTCTTAGAGTAACGGGAATGGGGAAATTGGGGGGGGGCCTCTCTACTGGGCTGTACCCAATCTCGTTGCAGGAACGTGTGACAACCGCCCTGGGTGAGATTAGAACCTCTGGTCAGTGCTTTCTGGTCTCCAGGCCTTTGGCCAGTGCTGCTCGAAGGCCGTCCACGTGCCCCCACGCTGTTTAGACGACTGGAAATCCCAGCTTTCCACTTGTCAACGGACAAACGGAGGAGGGGGGGGGGGGGGAGGGGAGGTGGCGAGGCGGGCGCCCTACTGGGCTGTACCCAATCTTGCTTGCGGGAACGTGTGACAACCTCCCTGGGTGAGAGTTGGGCCCTCTGGTCTATGCTTTCTGCCTTTAGGCCTTTTGGTCAGTGCTGCTCCAAGGCCGCCCGCCTGCCCACATAGAAACGGGAGGAGTGGGGGGAACCCCCCCCCCCCCCCCTCCCCCCCTCCCCTGGGCTATACCCAACCCTGTTTGCGGGAACGTGTCACAACCACAACCACATTGGATGAGGTTTACATCCGTGTGCTGCGTTTGTGTATTACAATCGTGTGTTACAAGGATGTTGCTGTTGTAGCTGCTGCTGCTACTGTTACTACTGCTGTTGCAGTTCCTGCTGTTGCTCCAACGGCTGCTCAAGGAAATCAACAAGTACAACAGTAAAGCTACCGTGCTTCCGTATCAGCCAGTCCGGCGGGACTGTTCAAGGCTTCTAGCGATCATTTAGTGTAGTTTACTCCTCCCTACCCACCCCCCCTCCTGGAGATCAGTGGCTCGGATGCTGCCAACCTGCACCACTGATTATGGCGTATATATATGTATATGCATATATATATATATATGTTATTATTTTAGAGGCTACAGGAACGAGACCTAGCTGTATACAGCGCTGCTGATTATCTTTAGGCGCAAACACCTTAGTAAAGATATAAGCTGTATTGGCACCTGAGGCCAAGTGTACTACACGAGCCTGGCGACCCTGCTGCAGCTCGCGCAGGAGGAAGTACCACAGCTGGATGTGCTTCTCTCTGCCCTCAAGTCGACGCTCCTGACACAACAGGATCATGGCCTTGTTGTCAGCGTACAGAACCGGGGCAGAGCTAGGCCGCTCACCTAAGTCGGTGAGCAAGAAGGTCAGCCAGCAGAGCCCCTGTGCCGCCATGGCACTGGCGTAGGTCTCAGCCTCACAGCTAGACTGGGCAACTGACGAGGAGCGGGTGGACCTCCATGAGATCGCACATGCACCAAGGCTAAAGGAGTAGCCCTGTGAGGACCTGAGATTCGCGGCGTCGTCTGCCCAAGAAGCGTCTATGTGCCCACTAAGGACCACTTGTCTACGTCCTCCTAACAATAGCCCCATGCCTGATGTACTTGCTAGATAACGCAAAACCCTCTTAGCGGCCGACCAATGCTGTGGTCGGCGTCTGCCGTGGGCCATAAAGTGAGCCAAGATGCTGTGAGGGTATGCAAGATCTGGGCGAGTGCAAGTCATCAGGTATATGAGGCAACCCACCAGCTCTGCGTAAGGACTGTTATAACCACAATAGGCTCAAATCTGCCTATAATGAGAGATTGAGAGCACAGTCGGATTTCCGTCAGACGGCTTCAAATATTGATAACGATCTGCTCGCTAACTCAAACGGTCATATGTAAGTTGGCTCTTGAGCGCGTTGCTGTCGTCTATTAGCAGCAATTTGAATCATAAAATTCCATGAAGATTTGACGACGCTATGGCGGTTTGACTGGCAGGAGGTATAGCAGCCACTATAGTCTTGGAAGTACAAACTGAGCAAGAAGAATTCGAGGTAGGGATGGTTCCCAGCCTCTACATACCCCAAGAGCCGAGGTCCAAGTTGGTGGTACACCACCACAGAGTCCCCAACCATGAGGAGACTCGAAACAAACCCAACAAGGGGCTACACCAAGTGAAATGTAACACTACTTGAAGTAGCATTACTATTTTCACTATTTTAATATTTGTCCACGTCCCTTGGGCTTGAAATCTTGAGCTCTTGGTCTTGGTTCAGCAAGATCAGCTCTTCTTGAGATGATGAAGGCTTGCTGCACACACCTGGGATGAGATGGACACTTCACACTCGACAAAATAGAGAAAGCACATGCGACGCGCAAACGACGACTTGACATGCGAGTTGTAAAAACTCGCTAACGTCTTGACCGACACAAACCACATTGTGATACACCATTCAAACACACACACAAGCACTAGATAGCAATGAAATAGACTCACAAATCATTCCATGCCATGCATGCACACACACAAACAAGGACGACGAGCCGAGTGCAAGCCATAGGGTTGCACCAACAAACTCCCCCTCGGATAGTTGGCCTTAGAATATGCTCCCCTTAGTTCAGAGCCATCCCAGCAAGCTTGCAACACTTCCAATGCTGCTGCTCAACCAGCCTCTTGGTCATCATATCAGCAGGCTGCGCCGTCGTCTTCACGTAGTGCAACTCCACTTCACCCACGGTTACCATGCTCCTCACCCAATGCCACTTCACCTTCATGTGCTTGGTAAGGCCATGAAGAACGGGGTTCCTAGCCAATGCAATAGCACCCTGGCTATCACAGTAGAGTGGGGTAGGTCCTTGCTGTTCCTCCCCCAATTCAGCTAGCAAACGCCGCTGCCACGCAACCTCTCTTATGGCACGGAAGAGTGCCATGTACTCGGACTCCACCGAGCTCAACGCTTGGTCCACTTGTTTCTTGCTCTCCCAAGCTGTTGGTCCTCCACCAATACAGCAGATAAAGCCTCTCATTCTGGTTCTGATGCCCAAGATGCATCAGAGAAGGCGGTGAGAAAGAGCCTCCCGGGTTCGACTCCATCCGCACCCTTTTGATGCCTTTGTGCCGCCGCGGAGTATTGCAGTCCAACAGTTGCTGTTTGGCCAAGGTACTTGGCCACCCTCTCTCCAGCTGCTACCTGCTCCTCATTAGGGCATTGGACAACCCTAGCTAGCTGCCCGGTAGCAAAGGCTGCATCCGGCCTTGTGTGAACGGCCGCATACATGAGGCTGCCCACCAAGGAATGAAAACGGCGCCTCTCCTCTTCACCAACACTTTCCTCCGCTGGTCCTTTCACACACTTGAACCCTGAGGGTAGAGGAGTAGCCACATGACCTTCACTCTTCCCAAGTAGGACTCTGAAGTACTACTTTTGATGCACTCGCATCCACCGCTTCTCCACATCTCGCTCAATGTGAAGCCCAAGGTAGTAGTTGACGTCACCAAGGGTCTTGCACTTGAACTTGTCTTGAAGCTTCAGCATCACCTCCTTCACAAGGTCAGAGGAGGGTAAGAATATGAGAATGTCATCCACATAAACCACCATGAAGCTCCTCTGCTCCCCCTCACCTAGCATGAACAAGGATTGATCGACCGTTGAGGGAGTGAAGCTGATCGCCTCCAAGACTTCCCGCAGCTTGATGTACCATTGCCTAGGGGCTTGCTTGAGGCCATAGAGTGTTTTCTTCAGCTTCCACACTCTGCCACTCCCATCATTGTATCCCTCTGGCTGCTCCATGTAGGTCTCTTCCTCCAAAACTCCGTTGAGGAAGGCCGTTACGATGTCCATTTGCTTCACCACCCATCCTTTGATGGCCGCCGCGGCGAAGAGAGTTCGAAGGGTTGTACCCTTCACCACAGGAGCATTTTCTTCATTGTAGTCCTTCTTCTCTTGCTGATGATACCCCTTGGCTACAAGTCTGCTCTTGTAGCGCTCAATATTGCCGTCGGCGTCGGTCTTGCGCTTGAAGAGCCACTTGGAAGAAATCGCCTTACGCCCCGGAGGTAGGTTCACCAAGTCAAACGTGTCGTTCTCGATGATGCTCCCCATTTCTTCATCTGAGGCCTTCTTCCACTCCTTCCCATTGGGGCCCTTCCAAGCCTCCTTGAGATTTGTAGGCTCCCCCGGTATCTCCACCGGAGAGAAGAAGGCAAAAACGCACTCCTCGCTTTCATCTTCCGCATCATCGCCTAGCATGAGAGCCGAACCGGTCAAGGTTGAGTTGGCTGGTCCTCCAAGCCGTTCATAGCTCAACCTTTTTGGGGGGCTGAGTCTTCCTTCTCCCCCTTCCTTCCTCCTCTGCTGCAAGGACTTAGATGCTCTCATGGCGTTGCTGCAAATCTGGTCGGTTCCCGCGAGCACTTGTAGCACGAGGCGGAAGTGACGGTGCACGCTCATCACCTTGCTGCACCTCCTCCTTCTCTTCTCCCCCATTCATTTGAGGAGATTGCCTTGTGATAGTGCTGCTGCTACTCAGCTCCAAGGGCAGCTCCACATGCTCCAAGCCGGTACTCTTCACCTCTCCAAGCCGCACACCAATCTTCGCTTGGTTCTCCGCCTTCCACTCCTTGTACGGTAAGTTCTCCATGAACTTGCAATCTCTGCTCACCAGGAACTTCTTGGTAAATGGGTCCCAAAGAAGCCATCCCTTGCTGTTTTGAGCCATGCCCAGGTGCACGGCCCATGTTGCCTTGGCATCAAGCTTGTTGTGCCAAAGTTTCTTAGGCACAAATGCCATGCACATGCACCCGAACACCCGAAGCATATCCACCTTCGGCTTCCTTCCAATCCACTCCACATAGGGCACCCATTTGTCTTCTCCCACATGAGTCAAGGCTCTGTTCTTGGCCACACAAGCATGCCGCACCGCATCCGGCCAAAAGTAATTGGGAAGACCGGCTTCAATGAGAAGTCCCCGAGCCGTCTCCGTGAGTGTCCGATTCGCACGTTCGGCGATGCCGTTCATTGCAGGAGAGTAGGGCATGGTAAGAGAGTGCCTTATGCCCTGCTTCTTCAGCCAAGTTGAGAAATCCTTGCTCAGGAACTCTCCCCCACGGTCAGTGCGAATCGTCTTCACAAGCCGGTCTTGTTGCCGCTCCACCATCGGCAACCAATCGGTCTTCACCGTTTTAGCTACGTCACTCTTCTTGGGCAGCACATACACCCAAGTCATGCGAGTGTAGACGTCCACAATGGTGAGGAAGTACTCTGCTCCAGCAGCTCCAAGCTTCAAAGGGCCCACCACATCCATCACCACCTCATCAAGTGGTGCCTTTGCCGTTGTCTCCGAGCTATGGAACGGGTAGCGGGTGAACTTGGCTTGCATGCATGTTGGACAGCCAAGCACCTCATTGGGCTCCCCCTTGACACGTATCCCACTGACCATCTCTTGCTTAACTATCTGCTGCAAAATGGGCAATGCCACATGCCCCATTCGCCGATGCAAGGTCAGCCAATCACACTCTCCCGTAGCGGAAGTCGGGTTGGAGAAAGCGGCACTCGCAATTGTGCCCCACAAGCTCTCTCCTTTCTCATTTGCCGCTGCTGCTTTGCTTATCTTAGCCTTCCCCTCCTCTTTTCCACCTTCTTTGGCTGCTGCACCACTCTCCTTGGGTTCACACGCCTTGCTAGTCTCTCCAAGATTGCACTCCTTCGAGTCACTCTTGGTGTCACTTTGTTTTCCGTGATCACCGCCACCAACCGCTTCACTCTTGGTGCTGACGCTTGCTGCCACTTTCCTCTCCTTAGGCAAGGGGACCACTGGGATTTGCCATATCTCATTGTAGATGTCCCTGTCCTCATGAAGGTCCCAAAGCTTCCGCTCACCAAGCCTCGCGGTATAGGTTTTGGATCCCTTGGAAGATGTGTCCATGCCGGCCTTTTGCAAACGCCGCACAGAAATCAGGTTGGCTGCAAGGTTGGGCACCCAAAGCACGTTCTTGAGGCCCACCATCTTCCCATCAGCACCCTTGAACATGGCCTTGCCCATGCCTTTCACCTCTGCTCGCTGCCCCAAAGCCGATGTAACATGCTTGACCGGCGACGGTTCGAGTTCGGTGAGCAAGTCCGCACGAGGTGTCATGCTATAGGTGGCGCCGCTATCGATCACCCAAAAGTCCAGAGAGTGAAGGGTGACCTTTCCCACAGTAGCTGGCTCCTCAAAGCCTTCCACACCTCCTGCTGCAGCTGCCGCTTGCGTGGAGACAAAGAAGAATTGGCCCGGGTATCGATCTTCACTCGAGTCCTTGTCGTTGTCTCCACCTTTCATGCTTGCCGCTTCGCTTCCACGACCACCACGGCCTCCACGACCTCTGCCTCTTCCTCCCCTTGCTCCTCTGCCCTCTTGGCCTTGAGAAGGGGTACATCCATCAGGCAATCTGAAGCAATCTCTCCACATGTGGCCGGTCTTGTGGCAAAAGTGGCATTCGCTATCAAATCGACCGCGCCCACGCTCGTAGCCATTGTTGTTGTTGTTGCTGCCATATCCTCTATTACCACGGTCTCCATTGAGGATACTGCTGCCAAATCTTCCTCCTCGCCCTCTGCCCCTTCCACGGCCGTGCCCGCGGCCCATGCTTGCAACTCCGGCACCATCGGGACCGGCCAATTCGCGACGGCGGAAATCTTCTTGTAAGATTTCCCGCTTCACATCTTCGAGTGAGAGAAGGGGCAGATCTCGATTTAGGTTGATGATGAGCGAGGACCATGAGTCCGAAAGTAAGGCCAGAAGCTTGGTCTTCTTTTGAAGGTCACTGTAGTTCAGATCAGCTCCTTCGAGCCGTGTCAACAAGTCGAAGAATTTCTGCACCCCTTCCTCCACCGGTTCGCCTTCGTCAATTCGAAGTGCCGCCATTTGCCGCTCCAAAACCACAGCCACCGCCGCTGTTGCAGGAGCATGTACACCCTTGAGAGCAGCCCATGCCTTTGGTCCCTTTGCTGGTTCATGCTGAAAAGGCTTGATGTGACGGATTTGGCTGCTCCCCAACGTTTGCCCAAGTAGAAGGTAGCCTTGTGCGCTCTTCCGCACCCACGGGCTCTTTTCCGGGTCCTTCTCGGGGCGCTTCTCCGTTCCTTCCATCACCTCCAGCAGATCATAGTGGTCAAAGATGTTCTCCATCTTGAAGGACCACTCAGCAAAGTTGTCACCGTTGAACTTGTCAAGGCCAAACACTCTAGACTCATCCCTAGAGGGTCCAAGGCTAGGTTGCACCGGAGCAACGGGTGGATTTTGGTGTTGACCTTGTGCTTGGGCGTCTTCTCTGCCTCCAGCACCTCTGCCACCCCCTTCCTCAGGTCTAAACATGATCGAGACGGCTCCAAGGGGCTCTGATACCACTTGTTATAACCACAATAGGCTCAAATGTGCCTATAATGAGAGATTGAGAGCACAGTCGGATTTCCGTCAGACGGCTTCAAATATTGATAACGATCTGCTCGCTAACTCAAACTGTCATCTGTAAGTTGGGTCTCGAGCGCGTTGCTGTCGTCTATCAGCAACAATTTGAATCATGAAATTCTATGAAGATTTGACTACCTATGGCGGTTTGACTGGCACGAGGTATAGCAGCCACTATAGTCTTGGAAGTACAAACTTAGCAAGAAGAATTCGAGGTAGGGATGGTTCCCAGCCTCTACATACCCCAAGAGCCGAGGTCCAAGTTGGTGGTACACCACCACAGAGTCCCCAACCATGAGGAGACTCGAAACACAACCAACAAGGGGCTACACCAAGTGAAATGTAACACTACTTGAAGTAGCATTACTATTTTCACTATTTTAATATTTGTCCACGTCCCTTGGGCTTGAAATCTTGAGCTCTTGGTCTTGGTTCAGCAAGATCAGCTCATCTTGAGATGATGAGGGCTTGCTGCACACACTTGGGATGAGATGGACACTTCACACCCGACAAAATAGAGAAAGCACATGCGACGCGCAAACGACGACTTGACATGCGAGTTGTAAAAACTCGCTAATGTCTTGACCGACACAAACCACATTGTGATACACCATTCAAACACATACACAAGCACTAGGTAGCAATGAAATAGACTCACAAGTCATTCCATGCCATGCATGCACACACACAAACAAGGACGACAAGCCGAGTGCAAGCCATAGGGTTGCACCAACAGGGACCACTAGGCTCTACAGCCTCCTCCGAGATTGGGGCAGAGAGTCTGTGGTCTACTGGAAGTGGGGTGGGCTGTGCGGAAGAGAACTGAAGGCCGAACCTCTAAAGGACCTGGCGCACCAAGTGTGACTGTGAGGGAGTGATGGTGCGTGCTGCTCTATCCCTGGAGATCTGTAAGCCAAGGTAGCGACGCAGCTCTCCTAG